TCTCCAGCCCCCAATAAATAATTTTTTAAAAGCTAAAAGGTAATAAACATAGGCACATATTCTCAAAAGCAAAAATACCATTAAAACTTTAACAAAGCATATTTGCAGAAATGGGGTGAATGGCCTCCAATTCTGTCAGCATTGGCTCAGGACAGCTCCCAGGGTCTGGAGTGACAGCTGAAAAATGCATTTCCTGGGAATGACCACATCTCCCAGGCATGAATGACAAAGTGACACTAAAAAGTGTCATCAATATTATGAGAGAGAAGAGGGCATGCAGGCTGCACCAACCCAGGAGTATTCTGTGTGCCCTAGTCCACGAGCCCTTGTCGAGTGAGACTGTCCCTGAGGGGTTTGCCTCATTTGGAGACCCAATGGACAAGCACTCTTATACTGGTATGAAACTAGGCCTCGCTGTTCCCAACACATAGCTCTCAGGCAGATAGACACACACACACACACACTACTCACAACACCCCAGGACCAAGCCAAGCAGGAAAAGAGAAGGATGCTCCAGAGGTAACATAGGTGAGTTGACTGGAAGGCTATGGTTCACTATACCCAAGGGAAAAACAGAAAGATGCCCAAGCAGACACTGAAGACCTATGGCAGTTACATTATTAATCACCAAGTCCACTGGAAAGCTTGATCCACTTCAAGCCAAACCTGACCGTGGTTTTAACAAATGTCTTATTCTTATAGAACTTCCAAGATTTTGATGTAGAAACTGCTTAGTTATAGAAGAAAAGACATGTGCTTTGACTATGAGCGTGTCTGGGGAATTTGAGCATCAAATGGCTGAAGAATCATTTTGTGGTATAATGATAATCATGCCAGGCTAAAGAGCAACCTGAGTTAATGTTTGCAAGCACTGAACGGTAACTAGCCATTTCAGCCATTAGGAATGGGCTTGCCGAGAATAAGAGCACGGGACTTTGTGAAGTCCTGATTTTTAGGAAACACTTACACTAAAGTGTACCTCCTCTGGGAACTATGAAATGTGTGAGTTTACAAGGAAACGCAAGCTCTTGAGTTCTTACCAACACGCACTAATGAACAAGGCAGAGTTGTGAAACTGGCTCGTACAGAGGGACGTGCAGAAATGCTGACCACGAGCTCCACCTTGACCTTGGCCACCAGTGGTTATGCTGATATATGCCTTTGCTAAAATCTTCAAACTGCTCACGCAATCCCTGCGCAAGCTATTCTATCTAAGGTATATCTTTAAAAAAAATCCAGCCCAAAGAACTCCGAATTGAGCATCCGCAGGTCAGCTCCCTCAAGAACTCCTTCCCTGGGTTTCAGCAAGTGGTGTAGCCTCAGGTTCCTCAACTGATAAATAAGGAGCTGAATACTTGGTGATCTCTAAACTCCAGCTTTTGGGGTCTAATAACTTTTTATTTGAATATCTTTATTTATTCTCTGACAGTTTCATGCATGCGTACAACATATCATGACCCCTGCCTGTCCTCAAATCCCCTTCCCACTCTCCCTGGCCCCCAATCTCATGCCCAAATTTTTAAGTAATCATGATATTGTGGAAATTATGAACCCAACTTAAGACTTCAACCACTTTATTTTAAAAAGTCCCCATTGCACTGGCATATGAATTTATTATCATTGCAGGGAAGAAGTTCGAATGGCATAAATAAGTTCTTCCACCCATCTCCTTTCCTGTAACTATAGGCAGGGCCTACCTTTCCAGGCTACCAAGTATTTTTCCAGGCTTTCTTTGTTCTTGGGAAGGCTGTATTCTGTGGTACCGAATTCACCCAAACTCCTCATGATTGCTTCCCGTCTAAAATTAGCAACAAGGTGCAACCTCCCTCGTGCATGTTCTGAGAACTCAATAGCAGGCATTCAAAGCACTTAGAACCTGCCACACAGGAAGTTCCATTAAGAGCGGTAAACTTTTAGTATTATGTAACAAAACGGCTACTTACATATTTTAGTTCTGAGGAAGAATCCTCAAGCCAACCACACAGCCTGAGTCGGAGAAGCGAGTCAAGCCCACTGTATTGTGCACACACACTCAGGAGTACGGGTCTTCTTCCCTCTTGGAATATCCCATCCCAGGTCTTATGCAGAGGGACTGGAGATCTCACCCAAGGCCTCGTCAAAGGTCTGCTATTAAGATTTCTGAGTTTCATTTAATATGAGCGGTGGGAGGAGGAATGAAGAATAAAGTTCAGGGGAGTCGCAGCCTTGTGTTGTCACTGGCAACCAACAGGAGACGGCAAAGAGTGAAGCCAGAGCAGAGCCGAACGTGCCGCTGCAGTATAGCAGCTAGCTTCCAAGCAGGCACACCTGGACTTTGATATTCAGAACCCTCATAAGAACAAACCAGGTGGGTGCTGAAGAGGGAGGTCTCTGTGGTTAGAACCCCCACAAAAAGCCAGGTGGGGGTGCTGGAGAGAAAGAAGGCTCGGTGGTTAAGAATGCTCGCTGTTCTTCCAGAGGACCTGTTTGGGTTCCCAGGACTCACGTTGGGCACCTCATAACTTCAGTGACCAGAACTCCACCTCAGCGGGGACCCAATGCTTCTGGCCTCTTCAGGCACCTGCTACACTCATTGTGCACATACCCACATGCACACACACACGCACACACATGCACATACCCACATGCACACACATACACATACCCACATGCACACACACACGCACATACATGCACATACCTACATGCACACACACACAATTAAAATATTAAGAATAGTTTATTGAGACAGGTTCTCTCTACATAGTACTGGCTGTCCTGGAACGCACTACATAGACCAGACTGGCCTCAGGAATACATTTTTTCCAAAAGCCAGACGCGGGAGCACATGCTTACAATCCCAACAGTGGGGAAGCAAAGACAGGCATATCCCTGGGGCTCACTGGCCAGCCTGCCTAGCTAATTAGGGAGCTTCAAGTTCAGTGTGAGACCCCATCTCAAATAAATCATGAATAAACAGTGGGCAGTACCTGAGGACGGACACCGGAGGTTGGTGTCTGGTCTCCACAGAGAGGTATATCTGTATACACACGAATGCATACACGTGTGCTCAGATAAAGAAATACCCGGGTTGATGAGTTCCAATGCTTTGCTTCTAGACTTGTGAGGGAGGAGCCAATGCTTGCTCTGTTATTCACTGACATTCAAGCAAAAGACTTTCATTTCTTAGGACAGAATCTCTTAATGAGGGGAAAGCCTAATGCGGAGACTTAGACAGCCGCACCATGGTAAGACAAGACTTTCAACTTTCAACCGAGAAAGAATAAAGTACCACTGTTTCTTCCACTCGAGCCCAATCAAGTTTTCACCTTTACACATAAAGATAAGCACCTGTGTCAAAGGTCCACCAGTCAGTAGTCTGGAATCAGGAAAGCCCAGGGCACCTGAGTGAACTGCCTAGTCCCTGCTCTGAGCAGGGACAGACAGTCCCTCTGCTGATGTGGCCCAGCCGGTGATTCTATTGGTCTTCTCAAAACTCACCCGGCAGAGTGTGGCCAGACAGTGCCCTGCTGGAGAGGCAAAGGGCAAGGAAAGAGAGGTGTCCTGGCCCGTTTCCCCGGCTCTTTTGGCTGAATGCCATATCGACACATTCCCAAGAGCAGCTGAGCTCCGGTGACACTGTGAACTCTGGCCCTGGTGGTATGATTCGAGAGCCCTTTGCCTCCGATTGGTCTCCTCTAAAACGGCCCGGCAGCTTCTGCTCAGACGCACTTGCTTGGTTTAACAACCATTGTCTTAGAGGCAAGTGTCCTTGGGATAGTGTGTTAAGACAGTAAGCCATCAGTCATCCTCTCTCTGCTGTGACTCTTCCGTTCTTTCTTCCCACCAGCTGCCTGCAGCCATTAAATCCAGAAGGTGAACGTCTGAGTCGTGTCTATTGCTGTTTCTTGGGCTGTTCAATATTAAAAGGGAATTGGTGTGTGTGTGTGTGTGTGTGTGTGTGTGTGTGTGTGTGTGTGTGTGTGTGTGTGTGAAAGGCTAGTGAAATCCACCAGCTCCCCAACACCCGGTGACAATCCAGTGTCTTACAGCTTCACATGGAAGACACAGCTTCACTGTGGTGCTAAAATCGTAGTTCCTCCTCCATCACCACCACCACCACCACCACCCCAAAAAGAAAAAGCATATTGATGCTGCCATGCCTGGGGTCTGAGATCGGGAACTGAAACCGGTTACGGGCAGCAAGTTGTAACGTGTAGTACTGAGGCTAGCATGAAGGACGGCACACGCGAGAGAGAAGGCAGTCTCCCGCGGGCCTGTATCCAAGCCTTAGCCTGCACACCCGCACACGGGATAAAGAAGAGCAATTGCACCAAGCCAGAGAATTTGCAGGAAAGTTTTACTGTACTTATATTCCCTTCATTGTTATTTTAATATGCATGTAATGATGTAGCATTGCCTGATGTATTACCTGCTATTCGCTCATTACTGTTTTGGTTTTTTTTTTAATTTCTTAGCAACAATTGGGCCAGTTCACTAGTGCTTTTACTCATGAAGATGTTATCTTTTGCCGACATAATCATTTTTCAGAAACTTCGTTTTATTGATAGAAGTAATGAATTAAAATTCCAAGAAAATTAATTTTTATTACCCACTGTTTTGACACAGCACCTTGCATGTTCTAGGCAAGCTCTCTACCAACTAAGTCACCCCCTCAGCCCAAGCCCTCCTTTTTAAAAAATTTATTAGATTTTTAAAAAACACCAATCCAAGTTCCCATCCCCTCCCCTCCTCCCATTCCCTCCACACACCCTCCCACCCCACCCCCAGCCAATCCTAAGAGAGGGTAAGGCACATTGCTTTGGAGAAGGTACAAGACCCTCCCTACTATATCTAGGCTGAGCAAGGTATACATCCAAAGAGAACAGGTTCCCAAAAAGCCAGAACATGCAGGAGGGATAAATCCTGGTGTCACTGCCAGTGGCCCCTCAGTCTGCCTCAGCCATGCAACTGTCAACCACATTCAGAGGGACTAGTTTGGTCCTATGCTTGTTCCTTACCAGTCCAGCATGAGTTGGTGAGCTCCCATTAGCTCAGGTAGACTATTTCAGTGGATGTACCCTTCATGGTCTTGACCTCTTTGCTCATATTCTCACTCCTCCCACTCTTCAACTGGACTTTGGGAGCTCAGTCCAGTCTAAGCCCTCCTTTTTTAAATATTTACCTCAAGGATTTTGTTACAGTAACAGAAAATAGCTAATACAGTATGCGACCAAATAGGTACACAAATATTTAACTAAAAATACTAAGTTGAAAGAGAAGACCTTAGAATTTCAAGAACTACACAGTAGTGATTTATATAAACGTAAATTAACATTCGTGCCTCAATAAAACCTCTAGCTCTGGAAAAAATACATTAGGCATGAAAAAAAATGTTTATTAAAATAGCACCAGGCATTTTGGATATTGCAAAATATGCCACATAAGTATCTGAAATGAAAGGAGAAAAAGATAAAGTTGAGGATCTCAGAAACCAAGAGGAACAGCAAGACCGGCTGCCTGGGCTCTTCCTACTGGTGACTTCAGACTCTGCTACTGTCTCACACCCGAGCCGAGGTCAGGGCTTTTGAAAATGGGCACCTTCTCCCCAAGACAGCAGGGCACCGGGGCAGAGATACAGCTGGAACGGCCCTCTCGAGGCCTCATGGGTCTTTTACATTTTTGATAAGTGAGACAAGTAAGAACCTGGCTGGCTTAGGAGACTTATCACCGAGAGGCCACGAGGCTCCTGCTAGGGGAGTGGATATGATATCAGAGGGAGAGGCTGGAGTCCAGCCCCGAGACCGTGAGGACAATGGTGGTTAAGCAACAGAAACCGCAGAGACGAGGAAAGACAGAGATCCCCCAAAAGTCACCAGGATAGAGCCTTGCTCTGTCACTGTGTGCAGACAGACAGGTGCATTGCCTGCAGATCATCCCAGCTGTCCCAGCCAGGCATGGCAGAGATAATGCTATCTCCTGCTGTATTTTACTGTGTGGCCACAGCTGGCCACCTCTGGAGTTTTAAAACAGACAACAACAAAAGGGTCTCAAGTTTCCCAGATCGTTCTCAAACTTGCTAAGTAGCAGAGAATGACCTTGAACTTCTTGAACTTCTGATGCGAGCCCCTCCAAAGTAGCAGAGAATGACCTTGAACTTCTGATGCGAGCCCCTCCACTCCACCTCCCGAGGGTCAGGTCTATAGGTACCATGCAATCCATACCTGGTTATCCACCCCAGGTCTCATGCCTACCATGCAAGCACTCCGCCCCCCCCCCAGAGACTTTTTTAAAGGAGACATCACCACCGAATAAGGGGGGGGCAGGTGCTTTCCGACAGGGTCAGGTGGGAAAACCGAACTTTCATATTCCTCCAAAAGCGTAAAAATGGAAGCTTTGGAATCTGGGCTAATGATCATAGATGTTTCCATTTCTACACACACACCCCCGCTCACTTTTTTTTTTTCACTAAACTTCCCAGAGGATGGCAGGGCCCCTCTCATAATAACTTTTTTTTGGGGGGGGGGTTTGAGACAGGGTTTCTCTGTGGCTTTGGAGCCTGTCCTGGAACTAGCTCTGTAGACCAGGTTGGTCTCGAACTCATGGAGATCCGCCTGCCTCTGCCTCCCAAGTGCTGGGATTAAAGGCGTGCACCACCATCGCCAGGCTCTCTCATGATAACTTTGCAGATTAAATTTTCCACTTGAAAAGTTTTTACAACACTTGCTTGGTGTGGTGCATATCTGTAATCACAGCAGGGGGCAATGATAGGAGGTTTGCTGTGAGCACAAGGAAAGACGGGTTTAGGTTAAACAGACACGTCTGTATTTTAGTCTGAAGGTTGATATTCTTATGTTGAAGTTAATTACTGAATTAACCTTTACATCTAATAAAAAAAGAAAAGACTGTATGCCTTATTTCTAAAATCTGCCATCTGAGTCAGAGTTCTCTAAACCCTCTTCCAGAATTGCTTAAATTTATTATTAGTGGGGGATGGGGTGGCTATATGCTCATGAGAAGATCAGAGGGCAACTTTGGGGTGTATGTTCCCGGTTCCACAGCTCGATCTTCACATCCAAGACTCCTTGCCATGTACAAGGAGTGTGGGATCATCTCCTGCAGGGTGCTGTGGCCAGCTTCTCCACTCAGCCTCAACTCTCTGGATACATTGTGTAGCCCAGGCTGGCCTCAAACCCTCCATCCTCCTGCTTCACTCTCCCGGGTGCTGTGGTGTACCCCCATGCTAAGTGCTCATAGCTCTTTGTCAGCTAGCTCTCAGCAAGGACGGGCTAGGTTTTGAAAACAAGATCCAAAGCGTATTTGTCTTCAAACCCCACACCCAGCAGAGTGTACGGCAAGGAGTAAGAACTTATCACATAATGAAATGGGGGCTGGAGAGATGACCTAATGGTTAAGAGTATTTATAAGAGTATGGCTGCCCCTTACAAAGGACCTAAGTTCCCTTCCTAGAACCCATGTTGAGTACTTCAGGACTTCCTGTAACTCTAACTCCAGGGATTCCTACGCCCCCTTCTGGCGTCCACGAGCATCTGCGCATGCATGAATATAGTCATATATAGACACACACAAACACACGATTTAAAATGAAATAAAACCTTTAAAAAATGTTACGCTCGGTGGTGGTGGTGCATGCCTTTAATCCCAGCACTTGGGAGGCAGAGGCAGGTGGATCTCTGTGAGTTCAAGGCCAGCCTGGTCTACAAGAGCTAGTTCCAGGACAGGCTCCAAACCTATAGAGAAACCCTGTCTCGAAAAACCAAAAAAAAAAAAAATTGCAATAAGAGATTCCTAGGGAAGATACCAGAATTAAAACATTTATGAGTCTCAAGCCCAAACTAATATTTATCCCAATTTATATAACTATCATTATTATTATTATAATTATCCTACTTTACAACACAATATTGATAGCAGATAGATGAGTCCATTCCATGTGCAAGCTTTACTTTCTGCTCAATAGCTCTGCGTTAAATTAGAGAAACTGCAGTTTATGTGGTCACTGAGCAGAATGTAAAACATCTGACTGCATTGTTAGATGAGCCGAAGAATCTTTTATGCTCAAAATTTCTGTTGGGTGAAGTTGGATCCTAAACAAATCTGATTGCTCTCCCCTAAACCATAGCAGAGGTGGGGGAAGAAGCTCCAGAGAACTGTTTTGTCAAGTGAAAATGGCCACAAAATATTTACAATTCTCGTTTGATTAGCTTACTGTAGGAAGACCATACAAATAAATGGTTGGGAAATAAAGCTGTTGTTACAGGCGAAGGAAACGGCACGTTATGTAGAATTACTGTGTAGTTTCCGAACTAGTTAACAAAGTAAGAAAGCATCCAAGACGAGGCTGAAACCCACACCTTCCCCTAGTGATAAAAGAAAGAGAGGGGAAACTGAAGCTGACCCTGGGCCAAGCAAGGTTCCCCGGGAGACTATCCGCACTTCCTCCTCCTGACGCCTGTAGCCGACCTGAGCAAAGAGGCTTCCATGGTTGCCAAGTCTGTGTGTCTCTGCATCTCTCTGGCTGTCAATGGGCACATGAGCACAGCCATCACGGGGGTGTTAGAGAGAAGATGAGGAAAGAGAGGAGTAAACACCGTTCACACGTTTTACATGAGATCTTTCCTGTACAAAGCTGAGCAACCACGAACAATCACTCTCCCCTTCTTTCCCTGGACCCAGAACATAGAAGAAGAGCCCAGGTGAGGGACTGAGGAGACGGCTCAGCAGTTAAGAGCACTGTCAAGCGTCTTCTAGAGGTCCTGAGTCCAGTTTCCAGCAACACATGGTGACTCACAATGTCTATAACGGAATCCAATGCCACCTTCTGACGTGCAGACGTGCATGTGGACAAAACCTATACAAAAGCCTAGTGAAAGGCAGCCACGATGTTGACGCCAGAGCTGCCCATCCCATAATTTATCAGTGGAGTATTTGACAGGATCCAGAAATGCCAAACTACTAAAATTCTTCTGGTGGAGCTACTGAGAGGTAAATTTGTTGCACGCCACCCTAATCTGGGGAGATAAAGAGCGCCGAGTTCTAGCTTCCCTGGTATAATGCTAAACCTTGCTTAGCGTCCAGATTTGCTGCGTAGGGATGGGGATGCAGCTCAGTGAGAGCAGCACGAAGCACCGTGTAACCTTGTGTGAGGACACCTGTAATCCTAACACTCAGGAGGTGGTGGCATGAGGATCAGAAAGTCTAGGCTATCTTTGGCCACATAGCTAATTAAGAATAGCCCAGGCTACAGGGAATCCCATCTCAAAACGTAAAACGTCACTCACCAGATGGCCACTTTTCTATGAGCAGCTCCACAGCCTAACTAAAACAAGCCAAGGTATTCAGTGCAACTACAGATGACTCACCCCCTGGGCCACAAACCACGCATACAAGCAAGGGCTCTGGAACAGCTGTGTCCCACTGAGTGGCATGAGTGGCAAGTTAGGCTAGAAGAGGGAGCGCAGAGACGTCATGTAGTCCGGGCTAAACAAACAGGGTGAGACCAGTCTCCAGTGGGGTGACTGGTGCTGGGGTGCTCGGAGGAGGCGAAAGGAAGGAGAGTTGAGCTTCAGACATTGGGCAAAATTCAGAACTTGAGTATGGTAGTCTGTAGCTATATTTGAGCTACAGACATGACTTGGCAGGTAGGAGTACTCCCTGCCCTCCCAAGGTATCCAAGTTTAGTTCCCACCCTTCTGGCTTCTGTGGGCACCTGCATTCATGTGAAACAGACCAGTGCAGACACCCAAATGCACACATAAATAAAAGTTAACATAAAAAACTATTATTAGCTGGGCGGTGGTGGCGCACACCTTTAATCCCAGCACTCGGGAGGCAGAGGCAGGCGGATCTCTATGAGTTTGAGACCAGCCTGGTCTTCAAAAGCTAGTGCCAGGACAGGCTCCAAAGCTACAGAGAAACCCTGTCTCGAAAAACTAAAAAATAAAAAAATTAAAAAAAAACTATTATTAATCTTTTCTATCTTTTTACATTTTGTTTTTTAAAATATTTTTATTAATGATTTGAGACTTTCACACTCTGTGTTTTGATCAAATTCACCTCTC